AGGAGATTTCCCAGAGAGTATTGCATTAAGTAAAGCTATCCTTCTATCCTTCTATACTGTAGCTTCCCACACACTGGAGACTATACTGAAGACAGAGAAGGTGGCTGTGCTGGGGAAGTGAGAGAATACAACAGGGCTTGCTGCCGTCCAGAATACTCTGGACTGCTGCAATGCTCTGATGCTGCAAGAGTTAAAAACAGGCACTGGGTTTGCTCTTTTGCACAGCTTCCCCAAATCCTCAGTTGGCCCAAAAGTCTAGGAGCTTGCAAAGGAGGTATTACAACTGCCTTTGTTCTCCTCAAACATAAAACAGTACAGAAGAGTGTAAAGAGCATCAGAATTGCTTTATTATTGATATGCCATCTCTGCTAATCATTTGTTATTTTTAAATTAACATCATTCTGCCTTCTCTAAAATTGGATACATTTATGGTAAAGATGAAGTCGCAGACAGATATAAGAATATGAAAGATGTGTACTTTGAAAAGGATACATACCTAGATAAAGTTGAAATGTAGAAGAAAAAAGAGCTATTGCAAAAATACAGAGAAAAATCTTGTTAAGTCAACAGCTGAGTGAAATTCAATGACCTGCTTTGATATTTATTAAATAAGATATTAATTATTAAAAAAACTCACATGTGGAATGTCTTTTCAAACAGGTTTGAAGCTGTAATATTGTTTTAATGTCCAACTACACAGCTAACACAAATATAAAAGGAAACACCTTTGAGTGCCACTCTGCTGAAAGGTGAAGCAAACACTTTATTCGCATGAATTCATTCTTTTGTTGAAACCAATGAAAACTTGGAGGCATTATTTGAAAAATATTCTTCTATTTACGTATTAAAATTACAGAAGTGAATGATAGAAGGAGCAAAGATACCTGTATTAAAACATCATAAATATTAGACTTTGGTTCAGTGAAGCAAGATGAATAAAGCTATTTATTTGTAGACTAACTTAATACAATTTAGTACCTGTTAAATTGTATTTTGTCTGTGGTACCAAAACAAATCAGTAAGTATATGAAGAAAAAAGATTGAGTACATAGCATTTCCAGTTCTGACAATGTAATATGAAACCACATTATTCTGACCTGGCTATGCTTTACTTTCAAAGTTTGCCAAACATTTCTTTCTACTCCTGTGTTAGGACAAAAGATTCTTTGTCCTGTAGGCATTTATGAAGTCCATGCATCAACACTTTTATTAACTGTTCAGTAAGCACACAAGACCTATTATTTAACCACCTATTGGATAAATACTTGCCTTTGTCCCTCTTAAGACATAAAAGATGATTTCTGCATCTTCTTCTGAAAGAAGAGATTCAACACCTTTTTTTAATAAAAGTGTTGAAACACCTGAACTGAATAAACATGCAGTCATACTTCACTCATATTCTTTTCACACTTTTCCTGTTGTATGGCCAGAATAAACAGGGAAGTGAACAAAAAGTTAATACTTATTTGTCAAAACACTCACCTTTAGGATAAACAAATAAACCACTGTACAACATAAGGAGAAAGCAAAACATCCTGTTGCCACTGACAGTAGTCACTGAACTCACACAGCAAATAAGATCTTGGATCAGTGAAGAATCAAATGAGAGGAAAAGGAAGAGAAGGGGTAATGACAGAAATATTATTAAAACCACCAAAAAAGGCATATTTTGGAGCAGGAAGAATTCAGATGATAATGCTCAATATAAACCCAAGGTTTAATTCAACTGAAGTCAAGGAGAATTCAGGTGATAAGATTTAATTTATTTAGAAAACAGATTTACCTTGGCTATCTAAGAAAACTCCTCTATTAAACAGACAGTATTTTGGTTCTCCTACCTGCTGTCCCTTGAATGAAAGCCTGGTATCACACATTCCAAGTCTGTTCCAAATCACCTGAACTGAACTGCAGGTGGTCTGTCCCAAACATAGGCTGCTTGCTCTCTGATGAGCTGTTTTCAGTGAGCACCCACACATACTCCATATCCTGAGAAATCTGTGGAGATCGGTAAGGGTTGTGTCTGGGTATAAGGCAAACAGGACCATGCCTGAGTAAATATGATGATACAACAGCATTCTTAACATGCTATTCCTCAGAACCCAAACCTCCTGAACAGTAAGGGATCCAAATCCAGAGTCCAGATATCACATATCCCATGCCACAGTTTAGATGTAAGTCAGACCCAACTCTGGCATTTAAATACTCAAAAATACATCCTAAAAATATGTGTCACTAGCATTCTCTCACAGCATTTCAGATTGGTAGGACTGGAATCCATCAGTGTCATATTTTCAAAGTGACAATGTCATTTCATGTAATCGCAGATATTTTTGTTTTGCATTTGACAGGTTATGAGACTACGTGGAGATTAAAGGTCCTTCTGTTTTTCACTCAGGAATTTATTAGGTCTTGTTGATCTTTTTAATCAGCATGTTTCAGGTTCTTTAACAAGATCATTATAACAATGAAAGTATTTCTTTCATCCATTTCTGTTCAGGGAATTCATTGTGTCTTTGCTTAGCCCTTCCACACAGCCTTTTCAGTTTTCTCTAATGAATGGCTTTCATGTCCGAATGCAAAGTATTCTGACAGATTTCTGGGTGCTGGTAGCATTTATGGAGTTCTCAGAACAGGAATAGCTACTCTAGTTATATTCATTGAACTAGAGGATTTACTTCCTCCTATTTATTTGCCCTTGTTTTATATGCATGGTAACAAAATCCACATATTTCACTACCTCATATTTAGCAACCACATAAACCCTTTGCTCATGACAGGAAGAAGTGATTCTTCCCCTGTACGCAGCACTGGTGAGGCCACACCTCAAGCTCTGTGTCCATTTCTGGGCCTCTCAATTCAAGAAAGACATTGAGGTGCTAGAGTGTGTTCAGAGACAGGCAACGAACCTGGTGAAGGGTCTGGAGCACAAGTCCTATGAGGAGCAGCTGAGGGAGCTGGGGTTCTTTAACCTGGAGGAGGCTCAGGGGAGACCTTATCACTCTCTACAACTACCTGAAAGGAGGTTGTAGCCAGGTGGGGGTTGGTCTCTTCTCACAGGGAACCAGTGACAGGATGAGAGGAGATAGCCTTATGCTGTGCCAGGGGAGGTTTAGGTTGGACATTAGAAGAAATTTTTTCACAGAAAGGGTGACTAGATATTGGAATGGGCTGCCCAAGGAGGTTGTGGAGTCACCGTCGCTGAAGATGTTGAAGGAAAGACTGCACAGGGCACTTATTGCCATGGTCTAACTGACAGGGTGGTGTTCGGTCATAGGTTGGACTCAATGATCTCAGAACCTAATTGATTCTATGATGACTCCTTTTGCCATGTTTCCCCTCTTTGAGACGAGTGTAAAGCTTCTGGACCTCTTTGATGCTGCTTTTCTCATATTTTCAGTGGCTGTTAGCGTTTCATCTCGCATTCATGGAATTCTAAACTTCTGCGTCAAGATCAATCGTACTCATCTGCACAGCATTCGGGAAGTCCCGCATCATCCCAAACTGCAGGCTCAGATGGCGCTGCCCGGTCCCCTCACAGCTCCAGTACAGGAAACGACCACCAACAAACCCTGGCACATTGGCCCCGTTGTGCGCATGCGCGCCCCTTCCGCGGCGGCTCGTCCGGGCGGGGCGTGCCCGGGGCGGATGCGGCGCATGCGCGGCGCGGCGGAGCTGTGGCGACCCCGCGCCCAGGTGAGGGGCGGCCTCGGGGTCCAGGGGCCGTGTTGATGCGCCTCGCCGTGTGGCGGGGCGGCGGCCCGCGTCTGGCAGTCCCGTGGTTCGGCCCGCCTGCGCGGACTCTCCTCACGCCGTAGGGCTCCGGGGCTCCCCGCGGCCCGGGCCTGGCGTGTGGGCGGAGGGGCGGTCGGGTGGGCTCAGCGCGGGGCCGGCCCTGGGCGGCGGCGAGGCGCCTGGTACTTCAGGCGGTGCGCGGCGGAGCTTCCTCCCGCCAGGCCGGGGGGCGGCTCTGGTCCGGGCACGGGCAGGAGGGGTCGTACGCCCGCGTTTCGGGAGAGCGGAGCTTCTGGTTTGTTTATTTTGGGTTGTGGTTTTGTTGTTTTGGTTTGTTCCATAAGAGAAAAAGATATGGTAGCCCTTCCCAAAGCTTCCCTTCGTGCAAAGCTGGCAGATGAGGTGTTCTTACTTTACTTATTTCTATCCTTCTGTTTCTAGTTTTGGTTTGGGGTATTTTGAAAAGGACTAAGTAGTGAGAACGTGGATCGAGGACTTAAAGCACGTCTTCCATTCCAGGGATGGCATCTAGGTTGCTCTTACGTAATCGTGTTTGCTCCATACCTGTTAGCAGGCAGGCAGGTAGGTGTGACTGAAAACTGAAAGTAAAACCTATGCAAGTAGCTACTTGAGGAAAATCTCTTCTGCTGGCCATTATTCCATCGTTCTTGTAGTTATATAGACAGTCATCTTACCATTTGAGAATTCATTACTGTAGCTGCCGAGGCTCGAGATTTTGGAGCACAGTTCTAACAACCAGTTGGCAGGACCTTAAGAAGAAACTTGCATTTCAGGGTAAATTGTTCCAGAATGTCTGCTGCAATGTCATTTGAAGCAGCTTGCACTGGCTACTGCTGCTGCTGGACTGCTAGCCTGACTATGATTGCAGACTCCTGAGTTCCTGTTTTTATAATTTAAATACAAAGCTTTAACATGAGACATAACTTCAAATGGTTACTTTATAGGAAAATAATTTCTACAAATAATATTAGAAGTAATTTCTGCACTTCGTTATGTCAGTTTCCTGTTAGCCAAACTCTCAGTTACCTTCTTTCAGAGAAGCTGAAACTTTGTCTTATTAGAAGCTGCCTACTCTCAGGAAGCAGCTGAAGGTTGTGACAAGTATGTAGTATGGGAGGCCATAATGTTACTACATTATTCTGATTTTCAAAGCTTTTAGTTTCAGCCTTTCATTCTGGGTGCAGGAAGAGGAGGGCATTTCTAAGGCCATGTCTCCCCTAGGAGTGCACTGCAGGTATGTTATGCGTCGCACTTTTAGCAGTATGGATTTCTTTAGCCCCCAGCATGTTCACTGATAACTTATTTAAGTTTCCTTTCTCTGATGACTTACTTTACTCTTGTGAGTGAATCAGACTGTTAACAAAACCACAGTTTTCCAGATTTAGCTGTATTTGTTGTATGGGCTTCACTCAGCACATCTGTCTTGTTTTGGGATTCACTCCTTGGGACATCACAGTTTTTGTGAGATAAATATGACCTGAGTAATTATAATTCTTGATATAAATCTTGTTTATGAATAGCTTTTAGTTTTCAGTTTGTTTTGCATTTTGGGACTGAAGAGACATGTCTAATACATCAGTTTTCGATATGTGTTTCATTCTTTCAGTATTTTGAGGTATTTCTTGAAGTCTCTAGTGAGCTCACTGGCAGAATAAAAGGACGTGCAACTGTCCTACTTGACTCAGAGGGACATTGTTTTAGTTGCAGATAACAACCATACACTTTGCATCTGCTGTTTTATCTTGGTTACCCATGTTGCTGAACTTCATAGATTTAGGCATTACCTTTTTAGCAGATATAGAAATGACGTTCCTATTTCCCAAGTTTTGTGTGTGCAGTAAGGAATTTTTACCTTGTCCAACAGAATTCATAATGGAGTTAGAAATTACTGATACATTGTGCTCTCCAGGTGAATCTACTCTAGACTTTACTCAGAAATTTTCAGTATGAAATGGTCCTGTTTCAGGTAATTGAGTAAGACTGGCTGCCCTGTACTCTGCCTTGCTTAGCCCCTGAAGAAAGGAGCTGAATAAGATGGGGGGGGTGAATAAGATGGGTGCATTCTGCCCCTTCAGCTGCATCCATGTCTTCAGTACTTCTAAAATACCTTTGATTAGTTGATGGCATTCAGTAAAGATTTCTTTAAAAATTAAAATACATGTACCATATTTTTATTTCAGTTAGTTTATTCCTTCCTATGCCTTTGTTATTTTGGCATCTTTGGCCTATCCTAAAGGATTCAAAGCCATGCCTACTATGATATTGTTCTTTTGTAGTTGATGCAGGGACTGAAAGATTGGCTCATGGAAACTTTCCTGAAACTTGAAAAATCATCTGAAGGCAGGTGTAAAACTTAAGTTCAGAAGAGTCCACGAAGTGTCAGTTGACGCAAAGAATTATTGCCTATCTTTTCTACTCTGTAATGTGTTATTAAACATGCATAGTTTAGAGAGTTTTGCAGGGAATAAACTTGTTTTATTGGCAATTTTATTTTCTACTCTAAATGTGTGATAAGCATGGCAAATGGGAGGCAGAGAGTTTAATAGAATTCTACAGATGGCTCTACAGATACAGCAAACCTTTCATAAGCTGATTTCCTTATTGAGAAACATGGCCACCGTTGTTGTCTTATACTAATGGAGCTTTCTTTAGATTCAGAGAAACTCTGTCTTTGTTTTTAATTGTTTTTGTAGTTCCTCGATGGAAAAGGCATTAAAAACTGCCCTTGGCACTATGGAAGCACTGAGGCAAAACGGTCATCTCCTGAGACCCTTGAGGAACTACTGGGCAAAGTGATGGAAATGAAGAGCTTCAACCATCGCCTCAGCATGGCGGCAGCTGAATCTGACAAAGACTCTGGATATTCAGGTTTAGAAAACCACTGTGTTAACTTTTTTGTGTGTTATCTTGCTCAGGCTTTGCTTTTATTGGTGATGTTTGATAAATTTGACTAACCCCTTTCAGTTTGTGTCTCATTACCATGGAGGGCTTTTCTATGCAAGATAGGTTTCATCTGCAATCATCCTACCACCAAAGTCTTTTGGAGTGGAACTTTATCTAGTTATAAAGTTTATCCTGTGAATTTGAATGGCATGGGAATTTAAAATGTGACTAGTAAAAAAATTAATAGAAGAATCTCAGACTAGAAAGTCTAGAAGTGGGAATGGCAAAATTACTTTTTGTTCTTTGCAGTGATGAAGGAACTGTTGGATTATGCTGCCTAATGTCTCTTATGGGCTGACCAGAATGTCAGTAGAGCCTGATAAACCAGAGAGTAATTGTTATAACATCAGTAAAATGTAGACACAGTGTGCCATTTTAATAGTCAACAAAACTGCAAAGATGACCTTTAAAGGAGAGAAAAAAAAAAGCTTTTGTGAGAGATATCTCCTGTACTGGGTTTTTAGATAGAAAATTTCAAGACACAAAATGCCTGCAGCACAAACTATGGATGTGGCAATGCTGGCGTTCTTTCCTGTACCAGTTTTTTAGAGCAACCTTCATGATAGTGTGCAGTCCCTTGGAGACTGAATACAAAAGAACAAAAAGTCGTAGATTTTTTGGGGAGAAGATGTGTCTGTGAGAACTGACCTGAAATATGAAGCCTTTTATTAAAGGCTATTTGACAGCTCTCACAGCAACTCTAATTCTGTTGATATTACAGATCTAAACTTTATTGTTCTTTGTGACTTGGTTGAAAGGAAGCAGAACCGAAAGATAGTAGTAAGCATGTTGCATGGGAAACAACTAACAACTGAATTCTACATCTGGCAGATGGAAGTTCAGAGTGCCCAAGTGCTATGGAGCAGACGGACTCTGAGGATGTGCTGAATACGTTGTGTTGGAATGCAGAGGATGGACCTTGGCAATGCCCGAGGACCACAAGCAGCTCCTTTCCTGCACTTTCTCCTATGGTCGTAATGAAAAATGTGTTAGTTAAGCAGGTAGGGAAGAAATAATATATTGAAAAATATTCCATGTTCTTAATGTTTTTTTTTTAAATACTTTTCCTTTCAAAAAGATTTTGCATTGTTGCAGTCTGGAAAGTAACTGGTAACTTAAGTTCTGATGTAACAGTCTGCTCTTTTGAGGGTCAGGCTAGAATCACTAAGATGGAAAAAAAAAGTGAGATGGAGAAGCTCTGCTATATCTACTAAACCTCTTTGTCTTAAAGGAATCCTCCCAAAATACATCTTTAACAATGTTATGTAAATAGCACCAAAGATTAAACAGAAATGGGTGATTTGCTTTTGAAAACTGCTGTTATCTTTTTCATTCAATAAAGATGGTGAAGTAGGATGATGGGTTTGTTTCCTTGTTCTTAGGTCCTATAAGGGCTTCATATGCAATGGGAAACACTAATCCAGGATGTTATAAATGTAAAAATTAAATCCTTATCTGAAGTTAGCTGTGATACTTGTAGTTTAGTAGTTGTTTCCCTTAATTGCATGTGATGGCTCACGTTGCAACAATTATATTCCCTATTTATGTTCTCCAGTATTTTGTAATGTGTAGTTCCTCCAGCACATCTGTGAGACCCCTAACTTTTACATTTTAATAGAAGATACAGGAACTCCAAGTATTGTCCTGTTATTAGACCTCTTGCTCTGTACACACTCATTTTTGAAACAGACCAAAAGTTCTTTTTTTTTAATTAATTAGAATACTTCTGAGAATACAATGAGAAGGGGAAAAAGTAATATGGATCCTGATTCTTTTTTTGCTGAATCTGTTATGACAGCAAGCAAGACCTATTAAACACTGTGTATCATTGTGATACACAATACATAGAAATATGGGTTTCTGTTAGTATTTAGCAGATCATGCCTTTGTAGGGGAGATGTTTTTGTTCTCTGAGCATTGTGCCTTATTTTGACAAGAAACAATTTTAATATTTAGTCATGTTCCTAGATGTGTGGACAAAATACTATGTTAACAAATTCTTAAGTTAGTTACAGTAGGGAATAGGCCAAGCTTCACTAAAGGTTGATAGGCTTTGGCCCAGAGCTCAAAAATTAAACACTGATTGCACTGGTAGTCTAATGTTAAGGTCCAGGTTGTGTTGTGAACAGTTAGCAGAAGCAGCTAATAATAAGTAGCTTTATATATATATAAAAAAAACCCCAACCACATATATATATAAAAAAAAAACCTGGTAGTGTAGCAAAGACAGAATTTGGCAAGGAAGTGTTGGAGGTAGATAAAATTAACACTTGGTTCTCTCGAGCAGTGTGTCATAACATCTAAGGCTAATTATGTATGGTTAAGGACAATAATGTTAAATTGAAAAATGTTTACTACAATAATCAAAAGCAACAAGTCTAGGTCAGAATAATAATGAAGTGTCTTTTTCTCTTTTTTCATTATACCTGGTGATCTCAGATAGTCATGTTGGCCGTCTTTTTAATATGGTCTTTTCAGCACTGCACTCAGTTGGGCGCGCTGGACCAAAAAAAAAAAAAAAAGGCAGCATCCAGTTACTGCTCTTTATTTGTTCCAGTTTCAATTTCAATCAGCATCATCCTTCTGTCTTGGAACCGCTGTGATCCTGCACAGTGATGGTTACCTGCTGTTACCTGCTGGCCCAATTTCAGAATATAAACAGCTAACAACAACGTTACTAAAAAAAAAAAATAAAAATCAAGCAGGGATCAATTCTCGAAAACACAGTGCTACTTGTGTCAAGGTTTCTGTCAGTCAGTCTTGTAAAAGTCCTTAATAAATAGGAAGGCTTTTTAGACAGGATGTTATCTTCCATAGCTTTCATTAAAAAAACCCCAACAAAACCCACAACAATTTGCAGAATTAGTAAAATAAATTTGTCCTCCTCTACTGAAAATGAGATTTTGAGTAGGAGAACAAGAGCAGAGTGCAATATGAGAAGGAAAAGGAGAATAAAGTAGATAAGAGATAGGAAGAAACCCAAGATAAAGAGTTACCACAGCTCTTTTGGCCTCAATGATTCCGGGGCTCTGCTGTGCTGGGTGCTGTGCAGTTGTGCAGGACATGGCGACTTCTGACTGCAAACCCTTGCTCCTTAAGGCTACATGTTCTGTCCTGTGTATGTATAGCCACAGTATTTATATGCTTCCTTACTCCTAACATCTCCGCATACTTCTCTTTTGTCCGTCCTGTTTTCTCTGTTATGGTAGTAATATTTAATTAAGGATACAGTAGCTCTGTATCCCTATTCCGTAAGGATCTTGCTCACTGAACTGAAGAAACATTGTGTCAGAGTAGGTAATTGAATGTTATCTCCAAGTCTCAGTGTTGTAACCAGTGGATAGTATCTGGTTTTTGTAAGTTCAGATCATTAATTGGGGAAATGGGCTTTGTCAAAGCATATAAGCATTTAAAATTTATGAGACTGGCGGAAAGGATATGGATTTCAGATGACTCAGTATAGTACTAAAAATAATAAAATGTATTTGTGGTAGCTAAAAATTGTTCCTTCAGCAAGCATGCCAGTTGTGTTCCAGGTTGTAAAGAACTGAAAAAGCAGCTGACAATATATTATATTAGTATAATTGTAGTGGTGATGACTATTAAGAAGACCATTTGATATCTTTGGAGAAAAGCAGGCATGTTTTTGGCCAGAGGATCTCATGAAGATCTGTAGTAATGTGTTGGAGGAAAAAGAGGTAATATCTTGTAAAAATGGATGTATACCCCTATATTCCAGAATATGGCTTGTGGGAGGGAGTAAAAACGTGGGCATTTTTCTTGAAATATAATGCTTTTAAGGTTTATTGGAGTGCACTGTTTCACCAGAGGTATGAAGTTAAACTCCTCTGGGCTTACAGCAGGCTTTTTTGCTTGCATTGGTTGATATTCAGCATTTTTTTTTCTACTTCATGTTTTTAAATTTATTGAAATTGTGTATTGTGCTTAACATTGCAAGACTTACTGAACAGCTATTGTCTATTTTAAGTAACCATTTCAAAGGCTTGCTATAAGAACAGAATCAACAAGATTTGAGTTGCTACCTTTCAACAGAGGGAGTCTGAATTGTTCCTAAAATGTCTGTGCAGTCTTTCCTTGACACTTTATATATTTCATAACTACATAGCTTAATTATTTTTCAACTTTTCTGTGCACTTGTTCTTTGACTCCAAGTCTGCATTGAACTTTTACATGAACACTGTACCATTTAAACATACAGTGTAATTCTTCTTTAGGAAAAAATGTATAAATTAAGATTGAATTGTTTTTAAATATATCTACTGTTGCATAGTAAAAGCATTATGGATTACAACTTTGAATCCAGTGTTATGCCCTGTTGTCAGAGAAGGAAAAGGATGAGTTTGATGGAAAACTGTTCAGAACACAATAATTGGACAGTATATATCAAATATGGAGAAATGTCATAGTCTACCTGTTTCATTTAAGACTTTTTTGATCCTCTTTTACAATGCTTTTGTAAGATTTCTGTTTTTTCCCTGCTTCACTTCTCAGGGGAGTTCATCACAGCTCCAGTCTTGGACTGTGCAGCCATCCTTTGAAGTGATTCCAGCTCAGCCACAGCTAGTGTTTCTTCGTCCATCAATCCCACCTCCCATTAATCCTCACCCTGTTGGGAAAAAGAGAAGTGACTCCGCTAATTATTTGCCCATCCTGAATTCTTATCCCAAAATAGCACCACAACCCTGCAAAAGAGATCACTCCTTTGATCTAGAAGAATGTCAGGAAACCACTTGCCATAAGCGACTCTGCACGGAAGCACCCAAGATGGAGACTTCTGTATTGATGAGCACAGGCTTGCCTACTAGTCCTTTTGCCCACCTACCAGTTAGCTTTAAGACCCCTCAGGATTCTAACCAGCAAAGTTCTTCAGCTCTGGTGACAAGTGGAAAACTGTCAGCTCTTTCTGGTTTTCATCATGTTTCCAGTGACACTCAGAAAGTGCCAGGTTTGACTCCCCTTCTGCCTTTCGGAACTCTGCAGGCAGCAAAGTGCACCCTTCATGAGAGTGAGGGTGCATCACAGACTACTATGCAGTCTGCAGTGTGGAGCCCTCCACTGATACCAGAAGAGATTTGCACTACCCCTGAGCTGCTCTTGCAACAACAAAGCAAATGCAGACGCTTTCAGAATACACTTGTTGTGCTACGCAGGTCGGGATTGCTGGAGATCACTTTAAAGACCAAGGAGCTCATTCATCAGAACCAGGTGACTCAGGCTGAGCTGGACCGGCTGAAGCACCAAACACAACTTTTCATAGAGGCAATAAAGAACAATGCTCCACAGTCATGGGCAGAGCTAGAAGCCTCTCTAACAGGGTCTGACAAAGCTGATAGCAACCTCGAAGACCCCACATATCCCAACATGTAGTAAAAAGGTGCATAGCTGTTGGTCAACTTATTTCTGTGCCTCCTTTTTCCTGTCTCAAACTTTTACTTGAGCATTTTTTGAGTCCAAGACTTGCAAAGTCACGTTGCCATTAACAATTTGTCTTAAGAGCCAGCTGTGGGACTGGAATAGTATGGTGGGTTCTTGACAGAATGGGTACTTAGTACTGCAGTGTGACTTGAACTCCATGCTAACCCTGTATAATTCCTTGGACTCGAGAAGCGTGGATGTGCTCTGCTGGCATGTTCCCATTCTTGCAGTGAAAAGACAGTCATTTGCAGTATTCTGCAAGCATCTTCCTATTCCCATCTTCAGATAGTCAGTTCTGAGAGTGCAGCAGCAGAACAGGCCCCACTGTTGGGCCATCATCAATTCCAAGTAGGCAAAGGGGGTTGGTATGAGGAGAGGAAACAATGTTGATGGGGTGGTATCTTCAGGTTGTTGCTGTCTTTTCTGGTAGCAGAGAGTCTTGCTTTGGGGTTTTAATTCATTTGAATTAGTGGAAATCTGGTTGTGGTGAAGAGGCATTCTGTATTCATTGCAGTCTTTGGTAAAGTGATGAGTGTCTTAGGACCCAAGTGAAATGGCATGTTTTGATGAGTATACTTTAGATTTTGATCTGTGCGGTTGGAGTGAATAAAAATCACAAGGCTTGCACTGGAAGTGTTTGTTCCAAAGCCATGTACATTAATGGTAAGAAGTGTAAAAGGATGGTGGCTTTGCATTTTCTCAGTAGCTGACAGATTAAATATTGATATTAACGGCTGCAGTGATATGAAAAAAAAAGGACAAGGAAGATATTCATTCACCAGGATTAATTTGACAAGACTAATTGCATATTACTTGATATGTATATCTTTAAAAACCCCATTTTTTTCTGCAAAATCAGGTTTCTAAGTATAAAAAAAGAGAGGTGAAATGAGAGGAGCATAATGGCCTGTGTGAAGTCCTTCTCCCATCCCCTTCCATCTCTTTTTTTTATTTAGAGCAATCAGGTGCATGTAGTAGGGGTGGGGATGTGTCAGCTTGGATAAACTCTCTAAAAATTTTATCTACCTAAGCTTGAACTTCAAAAAACCCAACAAACTCCAAAACATTTTTTCCTCCGCATAGATTTGTATCCTTCCTAGCCTGCTTGAGATATAGCTAACGCTACTGTGTGCGTACGATATTTCCCTAAGATATCTTGCTAGTGGAGATCCACAGTAGTCATGTTAGAAAAGCTGTTTTACAGATATTTATTTCTTTTCAGTTTATGTATACACTTTACTATGTCACTCCCTCCAGTCTGAAGGGTTTTTTCCAGAGCGGTCTGTGTAGAAAACTGAGAATGGCTTTGTCTAAGAACATTAAAGAATCTGTATCATCTATGATATATTCCTTTCTGTGTGACAATAGTTTCAGTTTGCCATCTAGGTGACTGGGTATTTTGAGGCGTTGATTACTTCTGTGATCTGTTTCAGATTCTTAAAAAAGAAACTTGAAACTACAGTGGATGTCTTGCTAATTTGTGAGTAGACCTTAACACATAGAGGCATCAGAAAATGATAATATTGCAGAGGACTGTAGAGAATGCTTTTGTAGTCTTCCTCAAATAGGTGCATTAGAGAAATTGTAAGGGACTTCTCTCTCGTAGGGGATTTCACCCTTTTTACACTGATGAAAAGAAATGCTGTACATGTCTAACAAAGAGGAAGCACATGAGTCTTATTTGTACTAGCCATGGGCACAGAGAGAAATATTGTGGTAGGGTTTGCCCTAGTGGAGCTGGGCAAATGTGGAAATTGATTAAAAGTGTTCATAGACTGTTCTGTCATGTATTTTTTTAAATATATCTGCTATGGTTGTGATACTAGGATGTCTCATAAATCACAGCCCAGCAATACCAAAACTCAGCCAGCAAACCCAGAAAGCAGCATAGTGCAGTGTAACAATGTAGGACATGTCTGATCTAGACGCAGTCTATCAGTTGTGATATCTGCACCAAATGACATTTGGCAGGATAGATGTGATGGTGCCTTTAGGCCATTTATGAAAGAAGATGAGCTTGTTTCTTCTGAGCTTCTTACAAGGAGAGGAGGCAGTTCCATTGATCAGATACATCTAGCAGACCTAGAGATGTGAGGTATGAGAAAGAGCATAGGATATTTTTCCTACTTTTCCTCAAGTTCTTATTCTACCTATTAAATGGAGAGGAGAATTTGAAGTTCAGAATATGTATTTTTAGGAAATGACTGTCCTAGAAAAAAGGTGATGGGTTCAGGCTATGTACAGATAAAAGGAAGTCAGAAAAAATGAAGTCCAATCTTAGCTATTTGAGAGATAAGGAAAAATGAGTCTATCGATGACCTCTTCTCCATCCTATTTCCACTGCTCTGATGGAGTTAAAAGGAATTAAAAACTTCTCTTGCAGGGTAATGCCATCTGACTTAGGGAGACTTCAGCTGGTGGAAATCTCTCATAATCTTCGTAGTACCACATGCATTTTTTCCCCTGACAGCACTGAGGGTGGGCTGAGGTGGGTGTGCTTACAGCTAATGGGCCTTTCAGCTGGTGTAATTTGTATAAATATATATTCAATAAATCTGTGAATAAAGTCCAGCAGCTGGTTAGAAATCTCCTACTGGGCATCAGTCCAGAGTTAAATACTATTTTCTGAACTAGAAAAATCCACTCTGGAACTCTTATGTGTAAATCTGGAGTCCCTTAGGAACCATATCCCTAGATAATGACAAATCTTGACGCAACATCTATTAAAAAAAAAAAAAGGATGTTGAAGACCCCTGGTGATAAATATATGATCAGGTACCATTCTGTTCAGATTCTCTTAACTGCCTTTATTCCTGAAACCCCTCCTAAAGCTTTAAAAAATAAGGACTTTCCTTTCTTGGCTGCATTGTAATAAAATAGCTTAGCTTGGAAATGCATTGAGAAAATTAGTTGACTACATCAGGACCGCAATAGGTCTTGATTCTGGCCAGAATCTAGAAGTGGTACAGTAGATCTGAACAGAGACATTAGCCTCTGATTGGAAAGCTGTAAGCAATTTTTTTGCAAACAGATTTTTTTTTGATCTTCATATTAACAGGTTAGCTGAAGACAGCTATCCCAGTCTATAGAGTCAGTTGAGTGGCCTGCTGTGTCTTCAGTTGTTGCTGACAACTAGCAGGCGAGGTAGCTTGATGGGTCAGGCAGACTGCTGTTTTTCTATTATGTTTTAATAAATGTTGGTATTTTTGATTACTTTTGCTATGTCTTTTTGAAATTCTACTGTTCTTGTTGGAATGTAAATATTTTCCGTACTTTCAAAGTCCATTGCTAGCTCTGAATACAATAGCCTAAGAACTCTGTTATAGAACATGACCTTTTAGCTAAAACTTTACAGAAAAAGACTGTGAAATATGAATGAAATAAAATATTTACTTGAAAAGTTTGTGGGCTATTTTATTGCTGTTAAACTGCAAAGTCCTTGGTTCCAAAGCCTGCTTTAAATACAGCTCCACAACAGCATGTTGCCCATGTGGGAAAGTGCAGATCCAAAAGTGATACTATGATGTATCTTGCTGAAGAGAGTCACGTGAGCTTTAAAAGTATGTATGAATTAAAGGGTATCTGGGAGGAGCATGCGTAGAAGTGGACTGTATAGAACTCTAAAAATATATTGTCGTGGGTGACCATTGCCATAGATCTGTCATGAACAACCTGAAAGGATTTTTCCATCTCTGAACTGTTATCTCTGTGATGACTGTACATTATGCTCACCGTCTGTGCAGGGTAAACTCCTACGCCGCATCTTAATTCTGTCAGCTGGGTATGCAGAAGTTCTAAATTGCGAAGTATGAATCTTGGCTACTAAAAGAATTACTTGAGTGAAAAATTTTACACTCTCTCTTGGAAAACATTCTCCAGCTAAATCTGTATACCAGCTTTTCACTAAAACACATTTCTTCAAAATGTGGCTGTCTTTATATGGTCTTTCCTTTGTTCAAAGATGACTCTCAAGGTGAGAACTTGGCAGTCACACCCAAAAGATCCAGCAGCCTTGTGGCATGAGATCTTGTCCTAAGGTACAAGAGATTCTGGTTAAAGCTTTTACTTGGCACTAGACAAGGCATTAACTTGAATCTCATTTCTTTACATCCAAAAAGGAGTGCCATCAGTTGAAGTAATTTAATTTCCTGAGACTGGAAACTCAGTGTTTGCAAATTTTGTATTTATAAAAGATATGAGTTACAATTCAAGCAGAAAGTTTGCAGACATCTGTCTCTTCTGACTGCCTTTTCGTTTATGTCGTAAAGTCTTGTCTGCAGCATGTCAACCTGTTCACCTTTATTTCACTGAGGCAAAAAAGGTGAACTGCTTCTTTCAGGTGCATTGCACCCCTCTTGTTTTTCTTTCTCATGACACAAACAGTCTGAAAGGAGCAGTACCCTTGCAGGCTTGGGCTGAGCAATCTGCTGGCTTGCAGAATTTCTGGCATTTGCTACATTGAACATAGCATGCTGTTACTGCTTTCATTTTCATAACTTCTGGTACAGAAATGTGGGGCCTCTATCAAGACAATTTTACACTTGGGTGGTACTTAGGTGGTGCTTTTTTAAGGCTACGGTGTAATGTAGCCATATAGCCCCAGCTGTATTGCATGGTCCAACATGTCCAAAATGATCATACCCGCTTCCCTTCCCTTTTTAAATCTACCTCCTTTGAGATATGTCCATGAGACAAATTTAACAGTTCCAGTGTAATCTGATTCAGAAGGCAGAAGGAAATGCCATGTGTTCAGTCTGCTCTCTTGCAGAGAGCAGTTTCCAAGACTTCCTCAAATTCTTGTTTGAACTACAGCTGTTTTTAGAAGAAGCATCCTGCATTGATCTGAAAGCTCCTAAGATTGAGTCCACCCAAATTGTTCAAAATGTAATTACTTACTGTTAAAAACATGCCTCTTATACTGAGCCTGAATTTGTCATCTTTCAGTATTAAGCTGTCAGATCTTTTGCCTACTAAACTGAAGTGCGTGCTGTGACGTTGCTGTTTTCGCTGTAGGCATTTACAAACTGAACAAGTAATTTTTCAGCTTTCTTTTTTAAAGAAAGTAAATAAACTCTCAAATCTTTTGAATCCTTTATTCATCTGTGATACTCTTTGGATCCTTTAAAATAATTTAAATACATTTTTAATTGGAACACTAATAGCAAAACAGGATTGCTAAAAGAATTGTACAGTTTCAACCCTCCCTGCTGTTGCTCTACCTCATTTTTGTAGCAATCTTGGCCATGACATCAGATAGGAAGTCTAAATAATCCCTGGGCCTGTTGCTTCTGTGATTGGTGAACACCTGTCCTGTAAGTATGTTTCCACATTCCTTTGAATGTAGTTTGCAGCTAGAAAACAAAGCAAACTGGTTTTAGTAAGTGTCCAGTCATATTCATTTAATTTTCTCTGCTTCTCTTCTTTGAAACTTTGTCACGGTTAGATTTTTGTTTCTTTTGTATTTCAGTTATTGAAAACAATATTAAATAATGTTACAGTCAAGAACCAATTTTATACCATTTTTAAAATAAGAGTAGAAGATAGTGCTTAATAGATCTCTGTATACAATTCAGAAACTGTAGTTGCAATATATCTCACACAAGCCAGTTAATTTTGTATAATTATGCCTTCAGTTTGCCATGTGGCACACTGTTAAATGCCCATTAGTAGTATAAATACTATGTGTGTTGGCTTTGTCTTCAACCAATTTCTAATTCTAGTTGATCAGCATAAGGAGTCAGTTTTAGTTGACAAGCTCTATTTCTTATAAGCTTCAATAATTTCAATTACTTTTGCTTTCTATGCCCTAGAGTAATCAAAAACTATGTGTTTTTTCATTAGATCAGTCTGCCTACCCATTGGAAATTTGATGCTGTATTAGTTCTTCCCACACCTCAGTCCTATGAAATCTTTCCTAGTGGTGTGAAATTCATTGAAATAGTATTGATGGTCCAGAGAACTTCTTGATTAGCTCCATTAAATTTTCAGTCACAACTTATTCAGACTTGCTGAATTTAAAATGTTTAATAACCATTGTTTAAAATGTTCTGAATTACTTTTTGAAGTGGAAAACAAACTACTGTCATGATCGGAGAGGAATAATATGTCTGGCTTTTTTCTAATTGCTCAACAGAAATTTTTGTGAAATGCTTTGCCACTGTGCAGCAGCAATATAATGTCTTATCTTGAACTGGAGCGCTGCCAGCATAGATTTCTTCTGCATCTTGTACATAGTAAGAAATGGAGGAAATGGACTTTCCAGGGCCAAAAGGGGAGTTTCATCAACTTCTTAATTGTTTTTGTCATGTTCTTATTGTGATTAAATTAATTGAGTTAGTTTAATGGAACTGGAATGCTTATTACCATGCCCAGTTATGCAGTCTTACTTTTTTTCCGTAGCAGTAGCAATGATGTTTTTTAGGCCG